AGAGTCAGACTTTGTTCAAAGTCCTCAGTATTACTATATAATAGTATATTATCTGTGGTATTACCTAATTCTGCTTATGTCTTGTTTTGCAGTCTATGGTCCGCTTTAAAGGACGAAGTACGACAGTGAAATTATGGAGTTTGGAGTCATAATACCTTAGTACTGAGATTTCTTGTCCAATTCAAACGGGGAATAAAATTACAATGGCCTGATCCGAGATTCAGACCACTAGTGGTGCCTTCAGTCTACTAAAGTCGTATCTGTCAGCCAGGAGTTGGCCTTCAGCCGCTCCATAAGTCCTTCCGCGAGTCTGTGCTATTTGTACTTGTGGAACTTCGTGAAGTTGTACAGGCCAGTTGGGGTCAACAGCATTAGTATTAGGCAGTACAGGAAACCTAAATATATATAATGAATTATAATTGTATTGTTCCAAGATAGGGCATCAATAAAATAGGTAAAGTAACTTATTTTATTCTATTCATGTGGAAATCTAAATTTACAGTATTTTATTTTGTAATGTTCAATGATCACAAGGAACGTATATATTTTTAAATATAATATTTTCTATATATGTAAATACATATAACTCAAAGGTGACTGACTGACATAGTGATCTATCAACGCACAGCCCAAACCATTGGACGGATCGGGCTGAAATTTGGCATGCAGGTAGATGTTATGACGTAGGCATCCGCTAAGAGAGCATTTTGATTAATTCTACCCCCAAGGGGATAAATAGGGGATGAAAGTTTGTATGTAACTTTGTCAATTTTAAACCGATCGGGCTGAGACTTTGTATGCATAAATCTACTATGACGTAGGCATCCCCTAAGATAGGATTTTGATAAATCCAACCCCTAATGGGATAAATTAATGCGAGCGAAGCCGCGGGCAAAAGCTAGTAATACATAAAGTTCTTAGCAATTAGAATAGTTCGAAGTATCAGATGAGAATGTTTAAAGCAATAAAATTTTATGGTGGGGAATAAGACAATGCATTATCCAAACCTAATCTATATTCGATAAAACGTTTCCGGATCAATTTAGATTTAATGCGAGATAAGAATCTTGGATCGTTACAGTGATAGATGGCTGCCCTGACAAATCTATCAATGAACGTAATTTGTCATACTCGTGTCAAACGCAACCCTCCGCCACCTTAGCTGGTGGATTTTTTGCGTAATCTACGCAACTCAGCTATTGTAGCGGGCTACATGTGGAATCGAACGATTGTGATTACTCTTTTTTGTTAAGCACATTTGCTGAAATGAAGTTTTTTTTATTGTATTTAATATAATCATACTAATATTATAATTGCGAAAGTTTGTGAGTACGGATGGACGTTTGTTACTCTTTCACGCGAAAACTACTGAACGGATTTTAATGAAACTTTACAGTAATATTGCCTATAATTAAGAATAACACTTAGGTTATAATTTAAAAATAAATAATGTAAATTGGGCGAAACATAATGTCAAGTAAGTACCACACTTACTTGACATTATGTTTCGGCGAGATGAAGTTGTGCGGATCAGCTAGTATAATATAATACCATAATTTCACATAGCGCCATCAACTCCTATAAGCTAAGCAGACCTTGAGGTACTAGACAACTGATATATATTTATATATATATTGTGTAAATACATACATAATATACATAGAAAATACAAATATCCATAGACAATCTACTCATTTTAGTTTGTACCATGTGAGGAATCGAACCGTGACCATCGGAAGATGATGATGATGATAAATGTTTCTTTTTAGCACAGATAAGATAAGAAGAATTGCAAAACTGAAGTGGCAATGAGCAGGGCATATAACTCGTAGGACAGATGGCCGTTGGGGCAGTAAAGTTCTTGAGTGGCGACCTCGGACCGGAAGATGCAGCAAAGTGGACCGACAATCTGGTCAAGATCGCTGGAAGGCGTTGGCGAACAGCGCAGGACCGATCGTCGTGGAGATCTTTAGGGGAGGCCTATGTCCAGCAGTGGACGTCTTCCGGGCTGAGATGATGATGATGATGAAGATAATATTAGGAACACACTTATAATAAGAATAATAGTGTTAATAATACAACATAATTTGATTAAATATATTTATTACGCAATTTCTAACACAGCATCTAATATTGAATAGTTATCACAACAACATTTATTGCTACAAACAATAACTAATTATACGTATACAAAATACATCATATTCTGCTTATTTTTAAGAGAAAATTATTTAAAGATACATGCATGTCAATATATACCCCCTTCTTTATTAAAACTATAATCTCCTCTAAACATATCTAATATTACAGTGATAAGTAACATTTTATCAAATGAATAAAATATTTATTTAAATATATTCCTTACTACACTAGATAAAGAAAATCATTACCTACTATAAAACAAAGTCGCTGTCGCTGTCTGTCCGTCCCTATGTATGTTTAAATCTTTATAACTACGCAACGGATTTTGAAGCGGTTTTTTTAATAGATAGGGTGATTCAAGAGGAAGGTTTATATGTATAATACGTGTCACTTAGTAATTAATAGTAGCTTAGTAATTAATATAATAAATTTACATAAACTAAAACAAAAGGCGATCTTATATCTAAGCAATATCTTCCAGATAACCATTGTGTAGAGAAAGTAAAAATAAGAAAAGATATGAAAGGCTGGTGGCGCACTTTATCATAATATATAATAAATTATAATTTATTATAATGAACATAAACATATTTATAAATATATATAACTATGAAGATATACATATACTTAATGCACGTTTCTAAAATAGTTCTTATGATAAAAACAGCAATTTTATATTTAAGACAGTTTTATATTTATATGAAAATGGGCAACGTTTTCTATTTGCTACATTAATTTATATCTAATAGGTAACTAATAAATTTGGTAAGACAAGTGAACATAAATTTTTAGTATATATATCAGTTGTCTAGTACCCATAACACAGGCTCTGCTTAGTTTGAGTACTAGATGGCGTTGTGTGACTTGTCCAGTGATATAATGTGATCTCAAAATCAGTATAAATTCTTTTCAATATAGTCATTTATATATAGTTTCGTTAGTTAGTTATTATATAGTTCGCTATAGTTCTCTCATTCATTGCTATTTCAGAGAATTGGCAACCCTGTAATTTCAGTCCCATATCTTACCTTTCCACCGAAATAGCTTACAAAGCAAGCTGCTGAGCGACTGAATTATGTGAGATTGAGGTTCCCACATAGATGATACTATATTAAGTTTACCTCGGTAACAAATTCATTTAACAGACCATTTTTAAAACGAAACTATTTAATTACCTGTTGAGTCGTCAAAATGAGCTTTAACTGTTTGGCGTTGAGTTAAGTAGGTACTTTCAACTATATTTAGCGTATTTATGTATTTATTCTGTATAATTTATATATTTCAATATATATATATATATGTGTATGTTTAAAGTATATATCATATTTATATAACATAAATTATATATGTACATAGATTTTGTTTGCCTAATTATTTAGTACAGTATTAATATCACAAATTTTTGCCATTACTGCCCTACAACGCTTTCTAGTTCTACCCAAAGGTTAGCTGGTAGAGAATGCCATATGGCATTAAGCTCGCCTCTTGTACACTCTTTATAGTGCAATAAAGAATAAAAAAAAAAAAAATTCATACAAATATTTATAATTATGTATAATTATTAACTGGGTGTTAACACGAATAATTTATGGCAAATAATGATGTTTACTTCTCAAGATGTTTCAACTCGGTTTCACTAGCCATGGACGACGCGAGGTACTGACCACCTACCGAGTCGTAAAATTATTCGTGATAAGACTCGGTTAGCAATATAAATAACTAGATTTATTCGTGGTTTCACTCGCATGAAATTTATGGCCTACATGTTATTCTGATGTGTAAGCTATATTACTGTAAAGTTTCATCAAAATCCATTCAGTAGTTTTTGCGTGAAAGACTAACTAACATCCATCCATACTCGCAAACTTTGGCGTTTGTAAAATTAATAAGATTTGTATTAAACATCAAAGTTTTAAGTATTAGAACCTAACATTTAAATACGATAATAGTAATATCTCAGGATAATTCACACAGCTCCATCTAATCCCAAGCTAAGTAGAGCTTGTGTTATGGGTAAGGGACAACTGACAGAAAACGGACAACTGATATAAGTACATAGATATATTTATTTGTATATGTATTCATAATGTACATAGAGAAAACAGACCCCTACAAACAATCATACTCATGAATACAAATACCATAAGTGGAATCGAACTTGCGACCATCGGAAGTAAAGCGCCGTGCTTAACCGCTAGATCAAAGAGGCCGTCGAAATAACTTTTGATAAAGAACAATATATATTAAATGAGATAACCGTGAACAAGTTACTTCTTCTCATGCGTCGTCAATTTTTTTTTTTTTTATTATCTCATACCAAAGTATTGTCTGGAAGAGTTTGCATTAGCGATAATACCGGCTTTTGTGCTTAGTTTTATTTTAATTCTTTTAAATTTGTTCTTCTTCTTTTTGACAATAGAACCTTTATAATGTTCAAACTTCTAATTTAAATTAATTATGTCACATTCCGACCACTAGACGATCACTAGTAAATCTAATATATAAAATTCTCATGTCACAGGTTTCGTGTTTATGCTCCTCCAAAACGGCGTGACCGATTTTGATGAATAATTTTTATACCCCTAAGTGTTAAGGGTGGCTTACACCAAAAATTTTTTTTTTAATTTTTTCATCAATTTTTTTTATAATGAGGCATTTAAAAATACTTACAACCCTAGATTTCCACTCTTCTATCACCAACCCCAATTTTTTAATAGCGAATTTAATTTATATGACAAAACAACGTGTGCCGGGTCAGCTAGTAAAAATATCCAAATAACCTCTAATATAAAACAAACAACGTAATATCCTTACAACATAATTGCCAACAAATACAGACATAGCGCAGATAAGGCGGGATCTAATCAAAATATGATAATATTTTACTTCGCCGGTTCTCCGACATATGGAGCATTCCCCGTCCAAGTGATTTTCGCATCTTGCCATCTGCAAAAATAATATTAAGAACTCGACAAGCTGCGATTTCCTGCTTAAAACTTTATAAGTCAATTATAGTTCCTGTTATGGGGGACAGGATTTAATATCGAATGAGTTTTGTTACCACAGATTATATCGTATATCTATTACAATACTGGGGTAATTCAGTAATTTGAAATTTTTGAAATTAGACTTTAATATCGCAGTTACAAAGTGGACTTTCCAACATTTGTAATTTTTTATTTAAGCCAGTATTATAATAAGCGTGCGATATAATATGTATATAATGTCGAACTTGTTTTCAGATGATAAACAATAGGTGATTTCGAAGATTTGTGGCTCCATCGTTGTCATTTCTTCATGAATTCTCCACAATGGGCTAACTGATGTAATCTTTTTCTTTTCGAACACCTCTAATACTGTTCACCGCAGCTGGCCTTTACAGCTTCACCGGATGATACGGGGTGTGTGTAGATAGCACTTCAAACCCGTGGAAGGACTTATGGAGCGACTTAAGGCCAACTCCCGCCTGACGGATATGACTTTAGTCTGAGGGCGCCGCTAGGGGTTTGAACTTTGACTCAGGCCATTTCGATCCCCGTTTAAATTGGATGGGAGATCGATCGGAGGGGACCGGAAATCGATACCAACATTGCGATACGAGTTTGGTGCAGGTTGGCGGTCGAACTGACAACTGTAGTTTCTAAGCTATATCAGAGTTCTGTTAAATGCCTCTTACAAAGTCAAATATGATACTATGTATATAATTTAATATTATAACATGAAATGAACTTTGGGAAAACTACCTAATTCGACAAAATAATTGTATTGCTCATTATACTCATTTATACGATCCCGATCGATTGATCGCCCTTACTAATCAAACGGGGATTCAAATTACGATATCCTGAGTCGAGGTTCGAACCCTTAGAGGTGCGCACTAAAGTCGTATCCGTCAAGCAGGAGTTTGGAGGAGGTTTGGAGTGCCAACCGTACTCGTAACCCTATCGTTAGCTGCAAAGGTCAGATGCTGCCAACAATATTAGAATACTTCGAAAAAAATCATGAATACAAATAGACAAATCACTTACTTAGTATGTATAAGTTTCTCAAGTGGTGTAGCACTTATATCATCATTCCTCAATACGCTCGACGAGTCATCATGAGCACGTGTATCAACGTTTAGAAGCACGTGACATCCACCGCATGTGTAATAATGGATGTCAAATCTGTAAAAAAAATTATAACCCACTAGCAAGACTGTTATGTTAGATGGGGAAGTCAGGAGCATTGTCAGTTTTCGACTTCGTGGTAAAGGTAACTCTTGACTTTTTCTTTATGATGATGGTACCCAACAAGCATATGGTTCAACTAATGGTAAACAGTTATGCTAATAATAGTAGTTGTAGCATGGTCGCCTGAAACACCAGGGGTGTCATGTCCGCGTTGTCGACCCTTAAGTAACGAGTGGTATAGATCGAGCTTACGAATAATCTTATATATAAAATTCTCGTGTCACAGTTTTTGTTTCTATACTCCTCCGAAACGGCTTGACCGATTCTCATGAAATTTTGTGAGCGTATTGAGTAGGTCTGAGAATCGGCCAACATCTATTTTTCATTCCCCTAAATTTATTTTTTTATTTTAAGGCAAAACAACGTTTGCCGGGACAGCTAGTAATGTATAGAAATAAATAAAATTGAAGTGTCAAATTCAAATACAAAAATCATTTATTCATGTAGGACATTTTAGCCGCTTATGAACGTCAAGTTTTTACATTATATTTTTTTCCCTACCGTCCAGTTCGATATATAGATCCAATTGAGAAGAACTAGCAAGAAACTTATTGAATTACTTTTTTTTTTAAAGCCAGTTTACAATGTATAATGCATGAATAACTATTGCCATGCACGCTACTCATTCAAGTAATGTCATATGTGTCATAATTGTCATTTAATTTACTAGATTTTCACTGAATGAAAGTGTGTACGATACTTATGTACATAATCAAAAAATACCAAAAAAATGTTTAATATTTTCTGAGTCTTGTTACAATAACAACAAGACTGAAAATAAAATAAAAACATATACCTCCGTTCAGCGTGGTAATTCCTCAGCAACTCGCGATTAGTATTGAACAGTACGCCATAATGTCCTGAACAACTGGTCACCTGGAAATTAATTTAATGATAATAGAAATACAAATTTTGAATAGACATATTTTTTTTATCCTATTGATCATTCGGAATTCATCATAAGAACGGTCAATCCTATCGCACGCTTAATATGAGTTCTAGACTATTGAAATAAATATTTAGATTGCTTTTTGTAATTTTACATAAAATATATAGAAAACATACAGACCAATATAAACAATCATACTCTTGTATGTAAATGTTTGCAGAGAGCGAGGAACCAAACGCGCGACCCTTGGAAGCAAAGTATGATAAACCGCTAATACACACAAAGTCCTCCGACTTACCAATATTTTTTTGTAAATACATATAACAATTTTTTTGAACACCCAGACCAATACAAACAATCATATTCGAATACAAAAGTTTGAACTGTGCGAGGAATTGAACTCGCGACCATCGGAAGGAAAGTGTGCTAATCCTAGGGGATAAAGTGTGCTAATCCCCTAGAACACCAAAGCCGTCCATATAAATACTCTACAACGATATTCTATGAAAAAATCTAATTAACATACCCATATTGGCATTGCAGGTGTCTTCAACCTAGACCCAGGGTACTGTCTGTTGATATTGTCCTTCGCGTTATCATCGCCTCCATACCACACCAATAAACCGACCGGACTGCGGGATAGAATACCGAATTGTGGCAGCGCCTGAACAAAATTATATTTCACTTTTTATCTGTATAAATACATAGATAATATATCTATCAATCTAACTATTTCTATAGATAGATAGATAGATTGATTGATAGATTACTAGGTAGATAGATAAATTCTTTATTAACCAATTTTAAACACACGTACACGACGTAAGGAAAAAACCATTAAAATAAATTGAGGACTTTATGTACCACAAAGATGAATAGATAAGCAAGCTGTATAAAGCTACATATAATATACATGAACATCACATATGACACCCTTGACACTACTCTTACATTTCCTGAGAACTAAGATGTCAGGCTTCTTACCCTGTAATTTCACTGTCTAATCTGCACCCTACAACTGAAACATACCTTACAAAACAACCTGCTTTGCGACTGAAATAGGGAGACTGAGGTACCCATGCAGACCTTTTACAGTCTTTCTTTGTAAAATAGTGGTCAGTATATTTCAGATTTAACGCTTACATAATGATCCTCATCTCCAACGTATAGTACTCCATTGTGAAGGTACGGAGTAGCTCGTCCTGTTAGAAGCAGTGTCACGATGTTCAATGAACCTTCCACGTGTGCTGATACTAGATACGGTAGCTTCCCGTCAAGATCTTTTTTGATACTGTAAAGGTTGAAATATAAAGCCAGATACGGAATTTAATTATTTTATATATAAAAAGAATAAGTTGTAGTGGTTAACTTTTTTTTTTGAACTTTAACACTTTACTCCGTACCATATATAGTCTCAAGATAAGCATAGTTTATTTTATGTACTGAACAAATGATAGAAAAACTTTAATATATTAAGTTTATTTCTTTGTAAATACAGACAAAATATATGTACTGTTTGTCTTTCTAATTAACGGCTCATAGACAAATACCACTGTTTTCGGCGTTAACAAGTTAATGGCTACATGACGCCAGCAGTGTACACCAGAGACAACACTATGCATCTTTCTCTTTCTCACATATGCTACACTATATATAGAAAATACCCAGGCTAATATAAATTATCATACTCATGTTGCCCATCAGAAATAAGGTGGTGAGCTAAACCGCTAGACCAGCGAGGGCGTTGTCATTTGTAAGTGGTAATTGTCTATATACATGAACAGTACAACTGATATCGCCATACAAAAGATTGGCTGTATCGCTCCTCATGATAAATTTATCTATATTACGACCCATTGAACTGTTTAGTAGTGAATGAGACAAACGTTTCAAATTTTTAGTTTTAGTGGAGCGTGCATGCCTAAGGGCTCAATAAATAAATAAATGGTAACACTAAAATATATAGTAACATTTATTTGAACACTTAATAGTCCAGGGGCTGTTTTGTTTCATACAAACATATTTATAGCTCATAGAATAATTCATTAGGAGTCTGCTCAGACAAATGAGTAAATATTTGTTTTAGCAAAACTAATACTTGTAAATTAATAAATATGTCAGACGTGAAATACCGTAATTATTTTGTTCGGTTATTCAAATAATATACGTATAAAATTCAACCTTCTTTTATACGTTCTCTCTTCCTTTATATGTTTTTTTAACCTTGACGTAAATAATAGATTTATCTACCTATCTTTTATAAATTCTATGTTTTATTTTTATCACTAGAGAGCGTTGTTCAGTTACAACATGGTATATTTTCGTTTTTGAGTTACGTATAAGCAGTTTATTAATTACATCGCCAGCCCCTCTCATCGATCTCGCTTGCAATTCAAACTGAGATCGAAGTTACGACGGCTTTAGCCGAGGTTTGAAAACCCTGCGATACCTTCAGACTAAAGTCCTATCCCTCAGGCAGGAGTTGGCCTTTAGCCGCTCCATAAGTACTTCCGCGGGTTTGAAGTGCCATTTGCACTCGTCTCCTATCGTCCATTGAAGCTGTAAAGGTCAGCTGTAGCAAACAGCTTTAGAATAGTTCGAATAAAAAAAAATTACATAGCTATTACGTGTGTACATATTTGTGACATATTTGTGGTAATTGCGATCCTATTATACATTTGTTTAGAAGTAAAGAGCATGTTTATTTTTTAGGTTCCAGCCCCACATGCTGGATTCCCTGTAGAGCGCGAGCGTTGCGATAGTAAAAGGTGATAAAAGGTTATTTATGGTAGTTAAAGAGCCAATAACTTACTTCTCACACCCTCTTGACAGTACAACAGCATACAACAAAAGCAACGCGCCAGAGCCATCTTCAGTTTGAAACTGTACATAAAATAATATATAAACCTTCATAACTATAATATCAGTTGGGTAGTCAGAACCATTGTCAACTGTCGAAGTTTCACATTGTTGACATGCATTTTGCTGGGTGTATTCGATTTTTACATGAACATTTGATAAATATAGCAAAAAGAGGTAACATAGTACTCCTGGAACACCCATAATATTCGTATACATCACATTATGATCCGCTTACTATACATATAAATAAGCGAAGCATTATGTGATATACTTGGAAATTTTTTTTTTGCTAGTACATCATTATCACATAATGTTAACATGATAGATATAGATATATCTATCGTGTTCAGAAACTCTATTAATAGTAGTTCAGATATTAAATTTTTCTATTTTCTAATCTAAATATACCATTAAATTTAAAGTATAACTTGCTTATTGCTTCTATAATTAAATAGATAATAAATATACTGTAAAGAAATTCTTTTTAAACAATTTTTTATGTAATTGGATTGTAAAACAGGTTGATAGCCTGCCTGATAGTAAGTGGTCATTGCGGTCTATATAGATGAACAGCACTACACTTACTACGTGACCAGCCGCGATACCACTTATGGCCCTTATTCTGTAATTTCTATAAAATCAGCATCCTGGAACCGAAATAGCTTAGAAAGCAAGTTACTTGGCGGCTAAAGTAGGTGAAACTGTGGTACCCATGCAGACAACTTTTTAGTCTGGGTAAAATCAACATTTATAACAAATTGGTAAGTTTTGGCTATATGACATTGTGTATATCATTGAATTTTTTTTTAATAAGTCCCAGAATCCGAATCTTCATTAATGTTACTCACCAAATATAGGTAGCGCTTTATAAAAATCTGAAGATCCTCTAATTTCTTGAAATCGAACAAGTGCAGCTTGAAACAGAATTATTCGTAGCTGTAATAATACACACATCTGAGTATAAACTTTATAGTAATATTTGTAATAGATGGGTATTATTAACAAATAACTGTTGTTGCTTCGGCTTCTCATGGCTATACTAAAAAAACAATGGGGCCAAACCTGGAATATCAATAAGAAGACAATATTTTTAATATTAAGAGTTTTGTACTTTTTCTGTAATTTTCGAACATTTTTCTTCCTGCAAACACTGATTTGATAACTAGAAACAATACAAATATAATAAATTTTTAATATTATGTAAAAACTCTACAATACCTTCTCAGTGATACCATCTTGATAATAATGCGAGCTATGCTGTACATAATTGTTATCACTTGGTAAGCCTACAATAGCTTTGGGTTCAATTCCAGATTGGATATTGAAGCCACCTGCGCAGCGCCATATGACCTCGCTACAGGCACGCCATAGCGCTTCCTCTTGGCGTTCTTCGGAAGGTCGTAGATAGCTGCAAAGAAATATGAGAATTATATGTATAATATAGAAGATTTGTAGCTTGTGAAACGTAGACTCTGACTCAAAAGGCAAGGGACAAACAGGAAGCTTTTGAAATATAGTGAAGACTGAATGATATGAAGTGAAGAGAAGTGAAGAAGGTGGAGAAGAAAGAAGTTAAAGAAGAAAGGAAAAATATTTATTATAAACATCATTGAAAATAGGTGAGGAAAAATATTGGAGCACTTGATAAGACGAACGGTACGGAAAAATAGAAGAAAAAGTAAGAAAGTAAAACGGGGAAAAATTTGGAGTCATGTCGTATAAATCAAATAACTGAATATTATGAAAATCATGGAAAATGGCAAGATCTCCACCGACAAGAGCACGGCTCTCAAACTATGAATGAAGATTATATATTTTATAAATATATTAAAAAAGACTTTAGTGTCAATTACAAGTCGTATACTGAAGCTATATTCAAGTCCAGTAGGTCACAACGAATATTACGAGTTTTCTACTACTTATATACCAATGCTTCAGAATACTTCATTGAAATAGAAATAGAAATAGAAATAATCTTTATTCAAATAAACTCATTACAAGCACTTTTGAATAGTCATATTTTGATTCTACCACTCATTCGGAATGCAGATTCATCACAAGAAGAATGAGCAAGAAACTTGTGTGTTGCTCTTTTTTATAGATGTTTTTTTTTTATATAAATAATTACAGTGTAACAAGTAAGAGGCATGCGACAATCAACATAGAAATCGTGCTAACATACGTTTATATAATTTAATTATGTAAATAAATACGAATATACATCACGACGTATAAAACTCGGAAATATTCTTACAGCCACTATAAATTATGGGTTAGTACAATAACTTAAATAAGCACCAACCACTTGAAATGATCCATTTTATGTAAAATATTGTTGAAACGGTGCATAGTGCAGATTTAATACTGGCACTGGACAGGTTAGAAATTATTATCGGCACTTTATAGCTGTTTGGAATTCGAGAATGTTTGGAAATCTTTGAATGAGTTTCTTTTTTTATTAATTTAAAAAAATAATAATGTTATTAGCTGAATTGAAAATTTCGTGTGTTCCATATTTAAATCCAAGTGATCTTTTACTATTAGCTGTTCGCTCTTTGTTCAAAATTAGACCATATGAGGTTACGTTTTAGGTTTCAATTTGTAAGAGCCATACCTACCTTATCTAAGTTCTATATAAATTTTGTGAACATACATATTCATAATTTAAAAAATATTTACGATACATATTATACAGATTCTTTAATTGTAATCTCTACTCTGTACTGTACTCCTGATATTCAAAATTAGACCATAAAGCGTTTCATTTCAGGTTTCAATTTGTAAAAGAGCCATACCTACCTTGTCTAAGTTCTATATAAATTTTGTGAACATGCATATTCATAATTTAAAAAATATTTACGATACATATTATACAGATTCTTTAACAATAATCTCTACTCTCTGCGATCGTTTAACTAAAGACTTATATGTATTTGACATTGACATATATTATTTTAGCATCCGCATTTTATGTTCCACTAAGTAAATAATATATTTTGCAACTTATTGTACAAACTATAAATGTTGTTTACAAATAATATTATCTATATTAGAAATCTATTCTATTATAATAACGGCTCAAAATATTTCTTTTTTTATAGCCGTTTTTATTAGAATCAAACTAGTGTTTTAGTCACAAGCAAAACACCATAAAACGTGGATAAACTGGTATATATCAAATAAAGTATTGGCCGATACTGTGGTACAGATTTATGCCAAAACACGTGAGAACTATAGAGTTATGATTGGTATTCAGTAAATAGTTTTTTTTTTCATATAAGAGAAAAATAAATCTTTTAAGCATGAATTGCTTAAATATTAATTAATTAAATCCTTAATATTGTGAAATATGGTGAGGGCCAAGCAGTAAGACTTTTTAACTTTTAACACTTAAAAAAAATGTTAGAAACCTATTCTCAGACCTACTGAATATACATATAAAATTTCATCAAAATCAGTCAAGCCGTTTCGGGGGAGTATAAACACGGAACCTGTGACACGTGAATTTTACATATCTATTAGATTTACTATTAAATTAAAAAAAGTATTTTTTTTTTGTAATGTAAATAATATAATATATGTATAATTTATAATATACTTACGTGTCGGGAGGCAAAGCAGACTTATTATCCTTTGTCTGTGGCCGGGAATCGAACAGCAACCACTTAATGATATGAGCTTGGAGTCCGGACAATAGAGATCTAGCGGCATTCCGTGGTGCCGATAGTCCATACCCGAGCGTTTGGTCCGGGGGTCTCATAATCAGCGGGGTCCGAACCCACTCCCCTCGAGGTGGACATGACGCTGAACCGAAGGTTACAACTCGAAGTTCCTAGGGAGAAAATAAATTCAAATTTAATATAGAATTATTATTTATATGCCGCCTATGTATTATTTTCTTATCACTTTTTCTGCCGTACAGTTGGGTCAGCTACTTCAGTTTAGAATTAAAGTAATATATTTTCTTATGTTATGTATTTATATTATTTCAAAAACAGCAATATTCATATTATTAATACTAGATTTAAAGACAATCTTGCTGTCCCAAGTATTGTTTAGAAAAGGTCAATAGATTTTTTATGGGAATAGGTATAAAAATTTACAATAAACTACCAAAGGATATACTGGAATTACCCTTAAATAAATTCAAAATATCTGTTAAATCATATTTACTGAGCAAAGCCTATTACTCACTAAACGATTACTTGAATGACGAGCGTGCATGGCAATAGTTGTTCATGCACTTGATTTTCATTTAATGTTACACATAGACACCTATATAAATATACATACAATTTATAAACATGCTGTTAGCCGCGACTTCGTTCGCATGGAAATAAACCCTATTTTTGTAATAAAATGAATAAAATTTCTATAATTAAAATAGCCTAAATTACTCTTTTTAATATTAGCTAACTCTGACTAAATTCAGTCATAATCGGTCCAGCTGTTTCAGAGATTGGAAAGAACAAATAAACAGATTTTTTGTTAATGAATAATTGATGTATTTATAATCTATTAATTTGAAATTGCAAACAGACAAATTAATTTTATTTATTTATATAGATAAATGTATCGACTAGGCACGAACCGTTGTTGGGAGCTATTGTTTATATTACTTTTTATCAGTTTCAATGTTTAGCAACAAAATTAAATACTATACTTTGTATTGACAAACAATTACACTGAAGAACACGAATACTTGCAAGTGTTGTGCACATTTAGACAAAAAAAATACATATATAGTATTTAATTTTGTTACCTGGGTGTTCTGTAATGTGTATTTATATATAAAAAAGTATTTCTGTTCGTTCTCTAGTATCCGTAATACAAGTTCTGATTAGTTTATATCTATCTATCTATCTATATATGTGAAAGTCCTCGAGTGGTGACCACGGACTGGAAGGCGCAGCGTGGGAAGGCCTCCAACAAGGTTGACCGAAGATCGAATCAAGATCGCTGGAAGGCGATAGATGCGAGAAGCGCTTTCTTGGAGCTTTTGAGGAGATCTTTAGGGGAGGCCTTTGTCCAGCAGTGGACGTCTTCCAGGTTGAGATGATGATGATGATGATGATATATGTGAATTGTTCAGGATTATTATTAAGTTAGTCTAGTCTACACTCACGGTGGCTTCCTCTTCTGTTATTGCTTTACCACCTACCACAGCTGGTTTAGCACCAACCAGCAGCTTACTCCTGGCGTACAGTACTCTTTCTGAAACAATTATACTTAATATTATTACTATAACTTCTATCTTTTCTTCTTTCAAGGCAGTTGTAAGTTCTAATTCTTAATCCCATCATTTGTTTATCAAAGTCTTCAAAAAGGGATAATTCCTCAATTATCATTGTTTATATATATGTGATTTGTTTTTTTTTGTGTCAACTGATTACGAAGATACATTTTTTATTTAAAAAGTGGTGCTTCACACGTGTATAGTACACCTAAAATTTTATATACATCTCTCGAGTAGTTTTTAATGCAATTGAAGTTTCCTAATGGCTTGAACAATTTATTATAAAATAATATGGTTTATATTTAGTAAGTCTGGATAGTGTAGTTTGTTATCTACTCGTCGATTAAACTCCAAAGATCGTGATTTCGAATTTGGTCGACATCAAAGTACTTCGAGAATGATTTCTGACTAACTGTTTGGTAAAGGAAATTGATAAATAACCAAATGTAGACGGCAGTAAAATCGCCCCAGGCATGTTAAATATACATATGTATACCATATACAAGCAAAATGTCAGTCGTTGACCACAAAGACGTAATGCTTGTAACTACATAACAGCAAGGTCTACTTGTAACTGCTTTTATTTGGTAGCTGTGCTCGCAACTTCGTCCGTGTGGAATTTAGCTTTATTTTTTTAATATAAAAGAATTTTTCTAAAATAAAAGTAGTCTAAGTTATTCCTTATTACATCAGCTACCTGCCAATAAAAGTCCCGTCAAAATCGGTCCAGTCATTTCAGAGATTAGCCGGAACAAACAGACAGACAGACAAAAAATATAAAAAAAAATATTTTGGTGTATGTATCGTATTTAGTAAAAAACGGTTATTTCAATATTACAAACAGACACTCCAATTTTATTTATATGTATAGATAACAGTCAATTGATTTAATATCTATACTAACATTATAAGAGGGAAAAGACGGAGTCGGTGGTCTAGTGGTATAGCATATCGCTTTACTACCCAATGGTTGTGGGTTCGATTCCTTGTACGGTACAAACATTTGTATTCATGAGTATGATTGTTTGTACCGGTCTGAGTGTTTTCTATGTAAAATATGTATGTAATTACGAAAAAAATATATATCTATGTATATGTATTTGTATCAGTTATCTAGTGAGCATAACACGAGCTTTAGCTAGCTAAACTTGGGTCTAGATGGCGCTGTGTGAATTGTCCTGAGATTATTATTATTAAATATTTGTTATATTGTATATTTGTATAGACTAAAAAAATACTCGATTAAAAAAAACACCTGTACATAGTTCAAACAGCAAATCAGAGATTCGAAGTTTGTTTTCGAGCTGTTGTCAAAGTAATATATATGAAGCAAGTCTTTAAAAATAGAACCTTAACAATCTATACATATAAATAAATAAAATTGGAGTGTCTGTTTGTAGTATTTAAATAACCATTTTTAGTACATGCATATGAATATAAGTACGGTACATACACCAAAATAACATTTTTTAGAATTTTTGTCTGTCTGTCTGTTTTTTCCGGCTAATCTCTAAAATAGCTGGACCTATTTTGATGGAACGTTTTTGGCAGGTAGCTGATGTAATAAGGAGTAACTTAGGCTACTTTTATTTTAGAAAAATAAAGTTAAACTCCACGCGGACGAAATCGCGAGTACAGCTAGTGTTATATATAACTGTAATTATAATTATTAATATAATTTAAATTAATTGTGGTCGAATTTTGACCATTAAGCGACCACTAGTATAATTATAATACAATAATAACCATGGACAATTAACATAGTATTTGGTCACTATAGCAAAATAGAGCTTGTGTTGTGACTACTACACTATTGATAGATATACCTAAATACATTTTTTTTGTAAACGGGTACATAACTTATAAACAGACAGACCAATTCAAACAATCATATTAATAAATACAAATATTTGTATCGTGCAAGGAATCGAACCTTCGACCATCGGAATTAAAATTTCCTAAACCACTACACCATAGAGGTAATCAATTATTAGTTACATATAAATAGATGATAGATATATAGTGATGGTTCCAAGGGCAATCATTCGCAATATAACGTTAGACCGTCCTAAATCTATAAGGGATTCCAACAAACGTCTCAACATCCCTCATTCTGCGCTAACAAACCCTCGCTGCATGTATGCAAAGCTCTAAAGCCTGTCGTTTTCAGCTAAATCCATTGTTGGGGCCACAATAGACACCAATTTGCTTTCAATGGCACTCCACTGGTGTATGTAAGAAGTGTATCTTCATATTTTACTTTGATATTTTGGTACTGAATAAAATTTGTGTATCGCAATTCTGTTCATATTAACTGCTACCTGACCAGGCGATTTAATCAAGATTAAATATAATCAAAAAAGTTTAATATTGTCAAATATAAATGATGATGAATTTCATAAGCATAAGTGACCACGCGAATCAATCAAGATTAAATATAATCAAAGAAATTGTTCATATAGTTAACAAGCTACTCGCCCCGGCTTCGCCCGGGTGTACATGTATTATATATATAACCTTCCTCTAGAATCACTCTATCTATTTAAAAAAACGCTTCAAAATCTGTTGCGCAGTTATAAAGATTTAAGCATACATAGCGACGGACAGACAGCGACGGCGACTTTATTTTATATTATGTAATTATAATGAAGATAAACGATGATTAGTTTCATACCGTAAAAAAATTTACAATTAAAAATGTTAACGAATTACTACAAAGAAAGGAGTTTATTACATTTTAGTTTAAGCATATATAGGCAGAAATTTACTTATGAAGTCTGTTTTAATTACATAAACTGTATATATTTTAAATAAAAATTAGTAATATTTTGAAAGAAATACTCATCAACGAATCATCACATAAAGTAGAATATGTTTACTACTGTTCAATAAAAATATATAAATAAATAAAACATCAAACCGTAAAATTCTTCTTGCGAAGTACCGAGAACACTTTTTCTTGACATTTTCACGATTGTACAACTTTTTTAAATAGTAAATTACACAAATAAATTATTGCAAACATATGAAATACACTTTTATTGTGTCTGAAAATAAAGATGAAATTTAAATGTGTGAAGTATCACAATAAAAAAATTAAGAACAAAAATATTATTTCCGATTTTTAAATAAAGAAAGTCAAATGGAATTACAAATGAAATAAACACAATATGTAATTCCATTTATCTGTAATTCTTTATTTGAAAATAATATATTATATTTAATAATTGAAATATAAATTTTATTAAAATATATATAAGGTTGTAAATTAAATAATGAAACGGTAATGATATGGTTTTTTGGTCTGTAATTTGTGCAATATCATCTGACACCTGAGATACAGTATAATACTAGTTCAGGTGGCACAATTATACATATATCTTTAAATGTATTTACACTGTTATGCACAACTTAAATATGTAACAAAACAAAAGATTACAATAAATAATTATTAAATTATAAATTAAATAATGAAACGGTAATTATTTCTTGTTCTGTAATTCGTGCAATAAATAAAAGTGGTACAAATGGACGAGACGGTGGAGTCGTTCAGATATAAAGACAAACAACTGGGGTAAGTGCAACGAATGGGGAACAGGTGAGGCTTCTCACTATAGCTGAGGCTAAGTGTGAAATGTTGACAGTTGCAATGATTGGAATTGCATTCGTGCTGCACGATCGTATCGTATTCAATTGAATATGCTAGATTTTCTTTTACACTAATGATATCGCACGAATTGACTTGGAATTGAAATGTATACATAGGTATATATAGTCAAAATAAAAAATAAAATAGTCAAAAAAAGTTAAATAGGGCTGCTATTTAATTTTTTTTAGAAAATAGAGTAATTGGTAAACCTGGTACTTCCCTATCCCTAGCAGTATTTACAGCGCGGCATATGTATCTACCTACTCTGCGCTTTAATAACATATATATATAATATATGTATATGAAATGTATAGAATAGAATTCCTATATTCGAATCAATTTAATGTAAGCACTTTTGAATAAATGTAAATGTCCATTTCTATTTCTTTCCATCTATACTTCAGCTGCGTGCAATTTAACATTTATTTCATTGAAGTAAAAAGTCTCAAAAATAAAAGTAGCCTAAGTTATTCCTTATATTGCATTAGCTATCTATGACTGAAAGTTCCATCAAAATCGGTCCTGGAATTTACCATTTTTTTATTCCACGAAATAAAGTTTCAAAAATGAAAGTAGCCTTAGTTATTGCCCATATTACATTTTTTGTCAGGTAGTTGATGTAATAAGGAGTAACTTGGGCTACTTTTATTTCAGAAAAATAGAGTAAAATTCCACGCGGACGAAGTCGCGTGAACAGCTAGTAAATAAATAAATTACGATTTCAATTCGTACCTTCTCCATTTTTCATGTCGGCTGAATAATTATAAAACGCAGTATTATTCTATTAGGTACCACGTGACAGAACAAAGTCATAGACTAATTAATATGATAATTAGAAATAAACAAATTACATCTTTAATTCTAAGATGGAAACGTGGTAATTAATTTCTTGTTTTCTTATTTTTATTGCTTTTTTATAAACATTTATCTTAAATACACCTACTTTACTACTTAATGAATTTGTATTATTTTGTTTAGTTCCGAGAGAGAACCGAGATTAGAACCTTGACTACCGTTACGATCTTTTCTAATTTTAGCCTCGAATGATTAATAAAAAAAATATATAAAAAATACTACATGACTATATTATGACTATATTTAGTTACCAACCACAGTAGTTTATATTTGCTTTTTGAAGTTTAAAAAAGGTATAGGTGATCTATATCTATCAGATGGCCGTTGGGGCAGTAAAGTCCTCGAGTGGCGACCACGGACCGGAAGACGCAGCGTGGGAAGGCCTCCAGCAAGGTGGACCGACGATCTGGTCATGATCGCTGGAAGGTATTGGATGCGAAAAGCGCGGGACCGATCGTCGTGGAGATCTTTTGGAGAGACAAATGTCCAGCAGTGGACGTCTTCCGGGTGGCGATGATGATGATGATGATGATGATAGGTTATCTTATGTACCTATTCTATACTGCATTCAATTCTCATTTATTAACGCAGTATTATTCTATTAGGTACCACGTAACAGAACGAAGTCAAAGACTAATTAATATGATAATTAGAAATAAACAAATTACATCTTTAATTCTAAGATGGAAACGTGGTAATTAATTTCTTGTTTTCTTATTTTTATTGCTTTTTTATAAACGTTTATCTTAAATAATCCTACTTTAATATTTAGTGGATTTGTTTATTTTGTTTAATTCCGCTATAATTAGCATGTGTGAGATTAACAATTTTGAGTGCGGAAACTTGACTACCGTTACGATCTTCTGTAATGGTGATCGAATTCCGATCTCTTTTTTTTTTGGGACTACTCTAATGGTGTTGGCCGCAGCTGGCCTTTACAGCTTCACCGGACGTTAGGGGACGAGTGCAGATGGCACTCCAAACCCGCGGAAGGACTTATGGAGCGGCTGAAAGTCAACTCCTGCCTGACGGATACGACTTTAGTCTGAGGGCATCACTAGGGGTTCGAACCTCGCCTCAGGCCGTCGTAATTTCGATCCCCGTTTGAATTGGACGGGGGATCTATCGGAGGGGGGGGGGGGGGAATTCCGACTGTGACACGTGTTTCGCCTTTGAACGAGGCATCATCAGGCATCGAAAATAGAGAAATAGAATTCGGTTATAGCTTGAAGCCTGGTGTTGACTGTTCGGACTTTGATCACCATTAGAGTATTTATGAGCTTATAGTAGCGGAATTACACAAAATAATATAAATCTATTAAGTAATGAAATGGACTTCTGCAAAATAACATTTAATTCGATTAAATACAATCTTGCTTCAGGTAGGTTCACTCACGTGGGTACAAACTGGAAAACATCGCTAAATACATCATAACACATCCGACAACAATCACATACAATTGTGTAATTGAATAAAATAAATAGATTTATTATTATTATTACATGTTAGAAAAAAAGACTAAATTTCTTAGACCGGGTCTAGGAAGAAAACGTCTGGATGGCGGGAGAACGGATATATTGCGGAATATAACACACGCCACTCGGGAAATATTTTGTATAACAGTAAACGCAGACGGCATCTCTGTCTTGAAGAAATTTCCAGAACTGTTCTATAACGCATGCAGATACAAATCATTATTTTATTTATGAACTAGCTACCCACACTGGCTTCGTACGAGTGTACACGTATTATACATATAAACCACATATAAACCTTCCTCTTGAATCACTCTATCTGTTAAAAAAACCGCTTCAATATCCGTTGTTTAGTTTTAAAGATTTAACTAACAGACAACGACAGCGACTTTGTTTTATACTATGTAATGAAGCGGAGAACAAAATGTCTATTCTTATTATATTTTAAAAATAATAATAAAACAGCGTATATTTTATTTATTCTTTTTTTTAAAATCATTTTCGTTTTATTAGCGGCCAGTTACATATTTCAGAAATATGTGCGATCTCAACTCGAATATGAAAAGATGACCTATTATATTATAGAAATCAAAAGCCTTTCAATTACTGTGTGCAGAAGATAAATTAATATCTATACTCCCTAAACCATTTTTAATGTATTTCTATATATTTTTTTTAATCGAATAAGAACTTTTTTGTTTACGCAAACTAAAAATTACATAATTCATTAATAAAAGAGATTTATTTTAGAAATACACATCAGTGAGAAACGTTTGCTCATATCACACCAATAATGCAGCGAGATTTATTTACTTATGAGTAAAAATAAATAATATACTACTGATTCATGTATTAAATGGAAAAAATAATAAAAATGGCTTACCTTCATTATGTGTATTGGCATCTTTAATAACCCGTATCATTTTCATAATTTCAAATCAAATTGCCTTCTAAATTCAAAATATTTTAAAAAAGGCGGTAAAACAGTACGCGGTTACGAATAAAATTAAATTAAAATAAATTACTCGTTCGAAATTCAAATTGAAAATGGCCTATAAAATAAATTATGCGGCATCAAGTTTACTGGGAAAATGACATCAAATAGAAATGACAGGCAATCTGATTCCGGTAAATCGAATATCAAACAGACGTCCATCAAAGACCGTAATCAACTTTACCACAAGATTTTATGAACACTGCACAAGCGAAAATATGTCTTATTGCTTCGGTGTAGGATTTTAACTGGTACCGATGGTTGGGGTGCTAATAATGCACGTCAATTCCACATAGGTGGTTGTTACAAAATGCTTGTGCATTGTAGGTGTAGACGTTACCAAGCGTGTGCTAACCCTTTAGTTTTATGTGAATATGCAACATGGATAATAATGATGTATAAATTCATAGACAGGGCATATTTTTTTTTTGATGACAATAATGCATCCACCTGCGCGCAACGGTTTTGCGCAAGCTGCCTCCAGTGGAGGATGATAAAACGAGCTTGAAATCTGGTCAGTTAGCCCATTTTGGCAAATGACAATTTACCACGATGATTTCTAGGGGGAACCGCGTGGAGGTCAAACTGATATGGTACATTTCTAGTAATAGGGTTATTATTCCACATTAATAACAACCTACCCTAGGATATATTAGGGATTAAATATATCAAATGGCGATTATTAGTGTGGAAAATTAGATGTCTGCTCTAATAATAATAATATCTCAGGACAATTTACACAGTGCCATCTAGTAACAAGCTAACCAAAGCTTATGTTATAGAGACTGAATAATTAAAATGTATGTTGAATATTCTACTTATAAATGAAATTAGTATTCTATATATTAATGAACAAATAGTGGTAACGCAGGAGTAGGAAATTTCGTACACTATAAGTGTGCGAAATTTCAGCAGCCTAAACTCTTTCTCTGTATAAACTATAGTTTATATATTTACTGCTAATATATTTTTTTTAAATTATGCATAAAAAA